GCAAGGATAAGGGGGAGATTGTATTTATTCCATTATTTTATGTAATCCTTGCACATAAATAATAAAATATATTGATGGTCAGTTTGGTACATACATTAACTTAAATATCAACGATTTATTTAATAGAAGTAGCCACATGTTAATTAAATATTTTTGAAATGACACCATCCTGAAGATGGATATAAATAAATGTCATTGATCATATAATAGTTGTAAATGCTCCAATTTAAATTGATGTCCTAGAAGGACAACACCAATTACTGATAAATCTATAGCATGCCTGAAGCGTGATAGATCAATAAGTTTTAATGATAATTAAGTATCTTCGAAAAAGAAAGGAGACACTATTGACAATGACAAATTTGAGGAAGTGATAAATCTCATTACATTTCTACAATAAATCACTTTTAGTAAATTTCATATGTTCCATGATTATATAAATTACTCCATAAGAGTATAAATTGTCCAACAAGATTAGCAAGTATCAAGATTATATTCAAAGTGTTTCAATAAAGCATGAGTTATTATTGGATCAAGTATTAGTTGATTGTCTTGTCAATTGTATAAAGAAACACATGGTTGTGTTCTACTATCACATCACTTTCAGGCCTTGCATAAAATATGTTTAATAATGTGATCACTAGTGTTGGAAAATTGACCAGAATTTAAATTTAGAAAAGTGATTGGATGTGATAATTAAATTAGGCCATCTGGGTTTAATAATTACCCGTTTTGGAAACTCGAAGTTTCATTTGATATGAAATATAAAGTGCTAACGCTCTCTCATGTTAGAGGTATGAAATGAACTAAATGGCAAGACATAACATTGAGATTGAGCTATATATATTTGGATTGTGATTTTAATAGTTTGTTTTGAAGATATTTTTCAAGAGATTATATACTAATTTTGAACAATTTTGCTTGTGAACAAGTAATAAGTGACCAGAAGCTCACTAAAACAACTTGTGTGTAGAGATTTTGACTAACTAGAAACTCATTATTAAAGTATTTGGAGAATTAGAAGGTCGCCATATAGTGCCTTTATATACAAGTGATTAATCTCTTGATTGGGGCTATTTTAGGTCAGCACATAAGAAATAAAATAAGAAAATAGACAACTGCACAATTCATGACCCACTATTAATATTGATCTCCAGAAGAGAACAAAACTTCATTATTCTCTAGACGAGATAAATTTTTTGAATATGATTATCCTATGAGATCAAATTTTTGCACATGAATTATATTCTAAGTTAGTGAACAATTATCCCAATATTTGAGATATTTTACCAATTTAGGGGGGAGAAAAAGAGTAAGTTGGCAAAATTATAAAATTAATATTAGTTGATCCCTATAATAATACTTTGTAAAGTTACATGCCAAATTTTGTATCAAGATATGTTTCACATTTATAATTTGATTTCTATACCGTTATGACCCATCTAGAGGCATAGAGAGATACATTTTGGTCATAGTGATAATGATATTATGTGCATACATTAAGTTAAATCTTGTCATCTTTTCTTTGAATCATTACACCTGAAGTGTAGATTGCATGATCGGTTCCAATATAAATGCGTGATGTATGGTAAGATAGTGCAGTTGATGCTTTTTAAGTGTAATGATAGTATATTAATACCATAATGTGAAAAATACCCCAGATAGAAGTGGAATAGATATTTGAACTATAATAGATGGCCTATGATATGAGAAAGTCATAATGGAACATGCGAAATGTAAAATAGCATGCGAAATGTACATTAAAGTAATTTTATGATACCGGTACACAATGGAACCGATGAATAATATGCATAAGCATGATAGAATGGACTAGTGAATAAGGGATCTAAAATATATGTCCATTATGATGTCTATATAATGATAATCATCAAAAGTTTATCATGGACCAAAAATTCAATGAAATATGGATTTTTAAATCCACACTGTACAGTGTCTTGCATTAATTTGAGTCTTATATCCATGTGCATACGTGAGTCATAATTTAAGTTAATGGATTACTTATTGCATGTTTAGGAAGTTGTTAGATGCATTACTCATTGTATGTTTTGTTCAATATTTTATCATGATTCCTATATCTCATATTGCATGCACTAGCTAGTTTCTATATAATAATTGTGGTATGTGTGAGTGTTTGTCCAAAGTATAGTAAGGCGTATTTACAACATTGATGGGAAATTACAAAAAAATATTTATGCTCCAATGGGCTTACACTAGCGATGAAATTATTGATGACGTCGATTTAATAATAGCATGTTATGAATCATGTAAGAAGAATTCCTGAAGAACTTATATACGACATATATAAATACCCAGCCCTACATATTTTATATCTTGAATATTGCAATTATTATCAAACTCCTGAAAAGTCAATGTGACTACATCATCGATATCTCAACCTGAACTTTGAGTATGTGAGATTCAACAAGTCTTTGTATTCATCGGCGAACTCTCATATAAAACATGAAATGTCTAATAAAAGAATAACGTAGAGACACCATTGAGTGAGAATAATATTCTTATGGTCCAGAAGAGCCATTAGCAAAATATGTAATTAGTTTAATTTCTTAATTCATATGATATTGAAAAATGAAATATATATGATGATAACAAGTGTTGCCATGAAATTGTGTTTGGATAATGTGATCAATTATTGATCATCATTTTGTAGTATATATGACCTCCAGAATAAGGCATACATCTAATTGTTATGACAATTCGAAACAAAACTATCGAATGAAATAATGGTAAACACTTGTATTATTTCCACAAGTATGAAGAAATGAAGACGCCTCAATAAGTTCATGTGAAGATTTGAAGAAGTTCGATTTGGAAGGATCAATTATCAAGAAATGGTATCCTGCTACATGGGAGAAGTTATCCAACGAACCATATCACGTCGGATTTATTGCACTAGAAGATTTCACGTTATGTATTCACCAGGGAGAGAAAATACACGCTGCACTCTTTTTCCCTTGACCATAGTTTTGTCCCACATTGGGTGTTCCTGGAAAGGTTTTTAACGAGGCAGCATCCGGAGCGTATTACGAAGAATGTTGTACTCTTTCCTCAATTAGGTTTTTATCCCATAGGGTTTTTCCTATTAAGATTTTAACGAGGCACAATATTCGATAATGGACATCCAAGGGGGAGTGTTATGAAATATTATGTGGATGCCCATTATACTCCCTGTATCATTCTAGAATATTCTAGATAGATCTAGGGTTTATATTCTTAACCAATCAAACCCTGATTATATTGTATATATATACCCCCATCATATGGAATAGAAATACACTGATCGATTCTCTCTCATATTTCTCCTTATTTTATAATAATAATAATAATAATAATAATAATAATAATAATAATAATAATAATAATAATAATAATTAATATATAAATTTTTATATATGGCTGGCCACACCGTATGACCAGCCATCATGGGGGTTACTTCGTTAGTGTTAAGGATTTACTCGGTTAGTGTTACAGGGGTTATTTCGTCAGTATTATAAGGGTTACTCAGTTAGTGTTATAGGGGTAACTCAATTAGTATAATAAGGGTTACTTCGTCAGTATTATAGGGGTAACTCAATTAGTATTACAGAGGTTAGTTACTCGCTCAAGATTTACTTTGTTCTTTTACGAGCGGCCACATGGTGTGGCTAGCCGCACACAAAATGCTAACAATGATTATTCTACTTCGTTATGCTCGCGGCCTAAAGCGTTTGAACAAAGCAAAATATATACTCGTAGCAACTTAAAAGTTAAAACTACTCACATTGTTTTTTTTTTGTTTTTTTTTTTTGTCAAGAACTTTTTTCTTATTGGTTGAATAAATTTATAACCTAACTTATTAGTTCTTCATTATTCCTTTTTTTTTTAAGGTAAGATATAGGGAAAGAGTCAAAGAGATCGATTAAGAACGTCTTCTCACAAGAACATATCATTAATCTATCATGTAGTAAAAAATAAGAAAACTTGCTATATATAAACAGATCGATATCCTTTATGGGTCGGAGTAGAGTAACCTCGCTATTCATAATTCAATATATATAAGAAAGATCATATTTAGAATAAATTATAAAATATTATAAAAATAATAAAAGTTAAGTAGAACTGTAGAAGTGGTCGGCCAATCGGATAACTAACATGAAAGTTTTAATTGGACTAACTTAATTGACCACACGACCTACACATTTATCATTTATGTCATTTAATAATAGAGTAAGGAGCCGAGTAAGGGAATTTCCATCCCTTAGGGGCTAAGTTGTCTGAGATGGATAAGTCTTGATACATGCTCAATAGTAAGTTAATAATAGTACATGCATACCATGAGATAATAGATTAGATAGTGTAATGAATATAATACATTTTGATGGTATAAACATATCATGATATTTTTTTAGTTATAAATGGTACATCATATGCCAGCATATGTATGTACAAATATGACAAACTAAACATGTCTTAAGAATATTTAAGCATAGCCCCGTTTATAAATTCTTAAATGGACCTGGTTCACACTAATTTATTGTGGACCACTAACATTAGAGAAAGTATGGTTGTTTTATTAACAAAAAAAAGGGTCACTATAATTTTAAAAAAGGTCACTATGTTGAAATAAAAATCATTTTGGTAATATATAGGCCTAAGTGGATATTTTTGTAATGAAATATTTTATATACTAATCAATATGAATAATAAAGGCCACTATGCTAAAATTAGGGTAATAGCGTCGTATTTCAAGTTCACAATATTATTAAACGTTGTAGTAGTTTTAATAAAGGTTACTATGTTAAAAATAAGATTACTATGTTAAAAATAATGGTCACTATATTCAATATAATGTCGTGTGTATAGACCTCGAGTCCACAATAATATTATTGTGGACCAGTTCACGCAAGTGTTTTTGAGCCCCATTTACGCACCGGCTAAGGGCCCAAAAGCTAGTACATAATTATACTGGTCCAAAACCAAAATTACGTACATCAGTATTTGTCTTCCTTTTCCCCCCTCTTTCTCTCTCTCGGTTTCCCATTGAAGCGCACTCCGAGTTCTCCATTGAAGCGCACTCGCACTCCGAGTTCCTCCATTGAGGCGCCTTCTGGTAGTTTTACCCTCCATTGAAGCAGCTTCTGAGGTAAGGTGTTGTTTCTTTTTGTAATCATCGAATATCAATTTCACAATCTAGGGTTTTTCTTTTTTGATTATCAGTATAGTTAATTTAGGGTTCGAAATTTTGAACTATTGCATCTAATCAATAAGGTTGTGAAAGATCATATCGAGCGATTATGTTGCTAAAGAAGAATATTATGAGCCTGTTTTGATGATTGAATCGAATTATGAGCCTAAAATTATGCGATTTTTCGAGTTTGATTTGATAATTGAATCAAATTTGGTTGCTAATGTGTTGCAAAACCTTTTAATGTTAGGATTGAACTATGAAAATTGGACCTATTCTCTCCGGTCCCAGGGCGGCCGCCTCTCCTGCCCTGGCTCAGGGACTGGCCTAACCATAATTGGCTTGTTTTCGATGTTTCGTGCTATCAACTAGTTTGTTTATTTCATACATTATTTGGATTAGTCGAACAACAATGGAAAAAAAAAAGGATTTCATAAGAGTTGTGAAAACCTTGAGCTGAAAGCTTTTTTTTGTTGGTTGATTTTGGTTGCAGATGGCAACCAGCCCAGAAACTCTGGAGTTTTTGTCAAAATGTTTTATGAACTCTCTCTCTCCTAACCATGAGCCTCGACGCCAAGCTGAGGCTAGTCTTGGTGAGGCAGCTGAGCAACCTAATTATGGGTTGGCTGTTCTTACTCTCATTCGTACACCAGGCATTGGCGAGGAGATCCAGCAAGCTGCAGCTGTGAACTTTAAAAACTTTCTTAAAGCTCGATGGGCACCGGCAGCAAGGCGCTCTGAACCTAATGTTCCCTTGCCAAACCCTATTCCCGATGCCGAAAAGAAGCTGATTAAAGAACACATTGTGTCTTTGATGTTGGAGTCAACACCTCGTATCCAATCTCAGCTTAGTGAGGCATTGGTGGTCATTGGCAAGCATGATTTTCCTAGGCAGTGGACGGAGTTGCTTCCAATGCTCAATAGTAGGCTTCAGCAAGCACTCACCGAGGGTGGTAATTATGCTGCTATAAATGGGATACTTGGGACTGCCAACTCATTGTTTAAGAAGTTCCGACATGGGTATGGGACAAATGATTTGAGGTTGGATTTAAGGTATTGTTTGGATAACATGGCTGTCCCATTGTTGCAATTGTTCTCCCATACTGCATCTCTGTTTGACTCTGGTGTCAGTTCTGGTGCTTCCGCAGCAAATTTAAAGCCTCTATTTGAGTCACAGAGGCTGTGTTGTAGAATCTTTTATTCCTTCAACTTTCAGGAGTTGCCTGACCTCTTTGAAGATAATATGGATCCATTTATAAATGTATTTGGAAAATATCTAACTACTACATACCCAGCCCTTGAACAAGGAGGTGAGCAAGCTCTTGTTGATAATCTTCGTGCAGCTATCTGTGAAATATTGACCCTTTATGTGGAGAGGACCGAGGAGCCTTTTGAAAGATATGTGGGTGAATTTGAGAAAGCAGTGCGAAGCCTCCTTATCACCGTGTCTGGATCTCCAGGTCGTGATCATCTTGCGATAACTGCTATCAAGTTCATGACAATGGTCAGCACAATGGCACACCACTACAAGCTGTTTGATGATGCTTCTTTAGATCAGATATGTCGAAGCATTGTCATCCCAAATGTGATGCTGAGGGAAGAAGATGAAGAGCTCTTTGAGTTTAACTATATTGAGTTTATAAGACGGGATATGGAAGGGAGTGATGTTGACACTAAGAGGAGAGCTGCATGTGAACTTCTCAAAGGAATTGCAACTCACTACAGAGAGAAGGTTGCTCCCATGGTGAACAATGTCATACAGACAATGTTGGCTAAATGTAATGAGAATCCAGCTTTGAATTGGAAATACAAAGACTCTGCTATCTATCTGGTTATATCACTGAGCACTGTTAAAGCTACAGGCCCTAATGTCTTGACGGGCTGTTTTGATCTGCAATCATTCTTTTCAGTGGTGGTTGCTCCAGAGCTTCAGAGTCAAGATGTTAATTCATTTCCATTGCTCAAGGCAGGTGCACTTAAATTTTTGACAGTATTCAGAGATCAGCTTCCAAAGTCTAGTGTGATGTCCTTGCTTCCTGAAGTTTTGCGATTTCTTGGTGCTGAGTCAAATGTGATCCACTCTTATGCTGCTATTTTCATTGACAAGGTTCTATTGGTTAAAGATGAGGGGGGTAGAGCTAGATATGTTGCATCTGATATTGCACCTTTTCTCCCTGTGCTGTTGAATAACCTTTTTATTGCGCTGAAGTTTCCTGAATCTGAGGAGAATCAATATGTTATGAAGTGTATCATGCGGTTACTTGGTGTTGCGGATGTTTCTGGTGATGTTGCTGCTACTTGCATGTCTGGGATGGCTTCCATTCTTAACGAAGTGTGCAAGAACCCTAAAAACCCTATATTCAATCACTATTTATTTGAGGCTGTTGCTGTGCTTATTAGACGGGTGTGTGACAAGGACCCCTCTGTCATATCACTGTTTGAAACTAGCCTCTTTCCAAGCCTTCAGACGATTCTAACAAACAATGTCATTGAGTTCTTCCCATATGCATTCCAGCTTCTTGCACAGCTTGTTGAATTGAACAGGCCCCCGTTGCCACCGCACTACATGCAGTTCTTTGAGCTTCTTTTGCTTCCTGATCTGTGGACCAAATCTGCTGATGTCCCTGCTCTAGTGCGTTTGCTTCAGGCTTTCCTTCGGATGGCTCCCAATGAACTTAACCAAGGTGGAAAGCTAGATGAGGTGCTTAATATATACAGCAAGCTTCTTCCTTCTTCCAGGACAGAGGAGCAGGCTTTTTTTGTGCTGAACACAGTTGTTGAGAGCCTTGGGTACGAAGTGATTGCTGGGTATCTTCCGAAAATTTTGGTTTCGTTGTTTACCCGTCTCCAGACTAACCAGACCCCAAAGTTTGTTAGGTGCTTTATCATATTTATGTCTCTCGTTATAGTCAAGCATGGTTGGAATAATCTTGTTGATGCCTTTGACCGTGTACAGCCTGGTATTCTACTTACAATTTTGGAGGTGTTCTGGGTTCCAAATCTTAAGCAGATCACAGGTGCCACTGAGACTAAGCTAACTGCAGTGGCTTCAACAAAACTCTTGTGTGAATGTCCTGCCCTTCTAAAACCCGAATCTTCTAAAATTTGGGGTAAAATGTTAGATAGCATTGTTACGCTTGTTACCAGACCAGAAGAAGAGAGAGTAGAGGAAGAATCTGAAGTTCCAGATTTTGCTGAGACAGGAAGCTATTCTGCGACATTTATTCGCCTTTATAATGTCAATAAAAGAGATGATGATCCGCTCAAGGAAATTAAAGATCCAAAGCAGTTTTTGTTAGCTTCTTTGAGAAATCTTTCGGACTTTTCCACTGGGAGATATGGACAAGTTATCAGTGAGAATGTAGATCCTGCCAATCAAGCAGCACTGTCTCAGCTTTACAGCACTTTGACCACTGCCTAATATGAGCAAGTAATGTTTCCAAATTCCTTACTTTTATTTTGGGGGTTTAAAGGACTATGAATGATTACGTCTCTTCTATTGCTTGCTGTAATTGAATTTGCTTCTGTTGATTTCGTTGTATCATACTCCGTAACAGTTAAGCTAACGTGTGAGATTCTTCTTTATATCGTCTTAAATGACCTTTAGGGCTCTATGTTAAGGCTTTTATTTGTTCTTGATCTAAATATATTTATCCCCCACCCCCACATTTTTTTCCCTGTAATGTCAATGTCTGTAAGTGATTGTGTGTGTGTGTGTGTTCTTTTATATATTTATTTATTTTAAAATTTTTAAATTACCTACAATAGCTTTTAATATCAGTGATCATGTAAGTAAACGGGCTTTATTCACTTTTAAAAACCTCCTGATTTCTGTATTCTGCTTATTTAGCAATCAGTTACATGGGTTCCAAGGCATATTGTTGATATTTTTGTTTACATTGATGTGCTGTCTTATACGCTTCAGTGTTTTGCTGCTTCTGTGTGGGCAATGAATTTTGAGTATTTTTTTTCATGGTGGATCATTGGGTTAACTAGAGATGTTTGTCTTTGAGTATATTTCTTACTCGTGTTCATTTATTGCATCTTGCATTGTCGTGGTTTCACTGCTTTGTGTAGCTACTGATTATGGCTGTGCCGAATGATTTGCTGTTCAGGGAGGATTTGCAACTTTCACCTTGCTCCTATTTGAATTTTTAATTTTTAACTTGGTGATTTGATTTAAAATTCAATTTTTATGTCCAAATGTTCATGTAATGTCCTCATTACTTTAAAGTAGCTCAATTTTCTCATATGCTTATCCTCATTGCTACAACTAAAAATTTGATCAACTATATTTTGTTGCTTCTAAGAGCATGAGATAGTATAGAACTTTGAAAATAAAGGAGTACAAAAAACATTGTGATATTCATACAACATCAATGAATTGTGATGTTAGTTGCTCTGTGTTATGCAGTTGCTCTATTCATAACTTATACTAGAGCATATTGTTTGTATTGCACGACTTTTATGTAAAATGCATCATGTTCAAATGTGTAGTTGTTTCACTAGGTTTTCTTTGTGAAATCTACATGGGGTAAAATTATGCTCCAGCCAATAACATGCAAAATCTGTACTGATTTTTTTTTTTTTTTTCAATGCAGGATTATGTTCCTTGATAGAGTGAGTAATTGCTCTCAGATGAATGCATTTTGGGGTGTCCATCTTGTGATGTGGGTGTTCTTTTCGGGAGTGATGCGGTGGTTGGGCAATCAGTGTGCGCTAACGAATGCATATGCTGATATGTGCCCATGTTTTGGCTAATGCCTTATATATTTTCAAGTGTTTCACGACTGCAGTTTGATCATTTTTATGCTCTGCAGATATGCATTAGTATTTTGTATCGAGTCTTGCAAGACTGTAGCCGCTTTTGTCGCTTGTTGAAGGGTTTTGTTTATAGATGTAGAGTGTATGAGTTGGTGGTTTATTGAATTTGGTCGATTTTATTATCGGAAGAGAAATATGTTATAGAAACTTTACTTGAGTTATTTGGTTCCAAATTTTAATGAGTAAGCACAAGTGTCAGGTCTTCATTATCTAGATACTGGTGATGATTTTCTACAAGCTGGATTGTTTTGGGTAAGTATGGGTAAACATAGCATGGTTTTGAAAATTTAGTATAAAATTTTATATAATTATTTAAATTGTCACAAATAACTTTTTTTTTTTTTTTTTTTTGACAAAACAAATTACTTATTTTACAGTATAATGTTTTCGTTTTATTATAATTAACACATTTCTTTAGGCAAGTTGCCAATGCACGTTTCAAACATTAATATCATTAAAGATTTTTGTTTTTTTTTTTTTTTTTTTTTTGTTTTCACTCATTGTTTATCATGTTTGTCAACAAGTTTAACAATTTATATCTCTACTTATTAATCTGTATAAATTATGTAATGAAATTGATGAAAATTTACATTGAGACAAATGTAACAATATTTCATAGGAAAAATTGCAAATAATAATATAACCTTTGGCCGGTTTTTTTTTAATAATACAACCTTTCGATTATTTCTTAATATTACAACCTTTGAGGGGTGTTGAATTTTAACAGGCAAAAACCGGTTGGTAACCTGTTTTTACAGGTTATCATGACACGTGTCGTTGTTTTATTGGCTTTGTCAATTTGTTTTAATTTTTAAAAATTTATTTAATATTTTTAATTTTTAAAATATATAAAATAATAAAATTACTTTTATTATTATTAAAAACCCCCCACCACCCCTGTCACCACCATTCCTTCCCCCCACCTCCCGCCTTCACGCAGCTCCCTTTTCCCCCAGCCAAGAAACCGGACTCCCGGCGTCTAGCTCACACACCGCCGGCAACCCACTCCATGTTACCTCCACCTCCCTTACCCATCGCGCCCGCGAAAACCGACACCACCGCAGTCCGCAGCCCCGATTCCACCACAAACCATCGCAGCCCAAAAACCACCCCATCCCCTGTTTTCCGGCCACGATAAACCCTATTCCCTCACCTAAAACTATTAAAAATCCATTAAATCAAGAAAACCTGAAACCCCAAAACCCTAGGAAAAAGGTTTTCTGGGTTAAACCCGAAACCCAAAAAGAGATTGCGGTGGTGGCGTTAAGTGCTGCCTGGTGGTGCGCATCATAGTTAGCAGCTCCAGCTCCGTATCAAGGGAGCAGCGAAGGGATGGAGTTGGATGTGTGGTGATGATTGTGGTTGTTGTGGTGGTGCGTTTGGGAGCAGCAAAGGGTGATGCGGGGTGGTCGATGCTACCGTTGTTGGTTGGGCGCACGGTGATGGTAGGGGTGTGAAGAAAACAAGGAAGGTGGAGAGGTGGTGGTGGAGAAAACAGGGGAGGGGCAAGGGTGGTGGTGGCTAGAGGGTTGATTTTTTTAATTGAAATGATTTTATTAAAACTAAAAAGTTAATTAAACAATTTTAATTAAAAATTAAAAATCTGTTTTTTTTATTATTATTTTAAACCAATTACATGACAACACGTGTCATGGTAACTTATTCAACCGGTTACAAGTTATTTTGCCTGTTAAAATTCAACACCCCCCAAAGGTTGTAATATTAAGAAATAATCGAAGGGTTGTATTATATAAAAAGAACCGGCCAAAGGTTGTATTATTTTTTGCAATTTTTCCTATTTCATATGGTTATGTTTTCATTTAAGAGTTAACAATATAACCGCAAGGGAATGCTACATATAGCTCTTAGGCCAAATAAGCATTTAATCTTTCCTTCTTTGGCATAAGTCTAAAAATGCATGACAAAATCACTCATAAATCACGTGATGTATTAGCTCTAGTTGTTGCTCTTTTAGTCTTATTTCCGTCTAGTCGGAATCATCGCAGAAATAGAACAACACAACCCCTTTGAGAGGGTTGATGAGATTGAGTTAAAACATTTGATGATGGAAGGACCACATTGGTCGAGATCACTCGTCCATGCAATTCCTATGAATAAAGGTGTTTTCAACATTGTTGTCAAGCTGGATTATGTCTCTATTGGATAACTGTAATGTGACTTAATTATCTCTTAATTAAACTTCCTTGACTTCCAAAAATAAAATTTACTTTATTCCAAAAACTAAAAAGAACAATGATATATACTGCAATTTATGAACCTAAATGAATAAGAAAGCCTGGAAGAATATAAACGTATGAAAATGCATATATTTCCTTCACCATCAAAGTTGACAAACTTATGCTCAAATAATGCTACAACATTATCACATATAAAAAATTATCAAAAGCAAATTTCAACTTCGTAATTACCACATTGGTATCATTAAGCTCTGTTACAAGTCAGTCATAATTAAGTATCTATATAGTTAAATTAGATCATAACAAGAGCTCCAGAGCTTCTAAATTACAATTACATCGATACATACGTACTTTTCACCTATGACCATTGCAATTTATGCTAGTCCACCCGATTCTCAATTAACCTATTAACAGATTGATAATATCTTCTGCACCTATTTTTACAGACGATGAGGCTAGTTAAATGCTTAAGGAGCAGACCGAAATATTTCAATGAGAGCCACCCTTAGAGGAATCACCCTGCTTGCCAGGAAGCTGATTTGAAGAATCACCTGAGTTCTTATTTGAGGAATCAGCTTGATTGCCTGAGACTCGTTTTGAGGCATCATTGTGATAACAGTTGTCTAGGAACCGAACGACTACACAGGTGATGTTATCTGCACTGCCACGCTGATAAGCTTCTTTCATGAGCTTCTTTGCTGCTTCTTCAGAATCCTGGATGGGTTTCACCATATCAACTGCCTCCTGAAAAGTAGTAGAAGAAAGTTTAGGTTAAGCGGAGGGCAAAACGAACTTATGTAGCCAATAACATTATGATGAAAGTAGGAACACAGCTTAAGTCAATATGAAGTCAATAACGCAGGTGAGATAGTTGATAGCAATGAGAGTCCAAATAATTGATTGGAATCAGTAACCAAGAAGGAGCATTAGAGGACAAACCTCATTAGTGACAACATCCCACAATCCATCACTTGCAAGAATAAGGAACTCAAGAGAGCTGTCAACTTTCTCTTCCTGGTAGATAAAAATAAATAAAATTAGTAACTTAATTGGGTATATTAAGCTTGTTTTTATCACAATAATAAATAAATTAAAGATTAAGAAATATTCACACAAAACGGCTAGGCCAAGCAGTTCTAATTTTCCAAGTATGGATATGTCTATAAAACTAAACCATTTGAGTACACATAGCACATGCGTCATGAATTTGTATTGCTTACATAGGCAAGGAGTAATAGTACAAGACATAGAGCCAACAGGCAACAAGTAGATGTTAAATACCAGCATCAACTGAAAATGCATCTGTTTACTGTTCTTACACTATGCAGCTATGAGGGACAAAATCAGAAAAGAGACAAAACAGAAATTTTGATTTAGGAAAAAAATGTTAAAATATACTACCTCCGTTTCTTTTAGTTGACACGTATTCCTTTTTATGAAGTTTTTTTTAGTTGACACATTTCCTTTTGGGGTAAATTTTTTACCTTGCATTTATAAGCTACCCCACTTGCTTTTTCATTCTCTCTCACTCTCTCTCCTCTCCTTAATATATGTGTCTAAATCAAACGCGTCAACTATATAGAAACGGAGGAAGTATACAAGAAGCAATAACCAAGATCCTCTTCAAAATAATTATAGACACATAGACATTTAAACATGATCAGGAAACAAATTTGAAACAGCTAAGATAGAGAAGAAGATTATCTAGATGGCTCTCCATATTGATGATGTAAATAATAATGTGTCCATATGATGAAATCCGAACAGCTCTGCACATTTCTGCAAGCAAATTGTCACTTTATCTGGCTGGAAATAGTGCTACTTCACATGTTCATTCCCCTAATGAACAGCAGGATATATTTAAGAAGGTGCTAGGTTGACATCAATTTGAATTCTTCTCTCATAAGTTGGCCACTCAGGACTTTCATGCTCCACGCTCCAAGTTGAAGGGGAGCATTGAGGATGTATATATTGTTCTAGTTTATCTGTTAGGAGATTATACTAGTTTCTTAATGTACATCGATTTCCTTCTGCCCAAGACTTATAGCATGTATATACTTCTCCCAAGGGCTAATGTACAACAATATTTTGCATTTTTTAGTGAATTGAGATTGGCAAGTGAATATAATCAAGATACATGCGAATCTTGTTCATAATGAAAAAGTCACCGAGGTTGAAGGAGATGCGGATGACAATGGAGAAGAGAAATTTCTCTCTGCTCTATGGCATCTATAGTAGAAATTCACGCAACTACTTACCAAACTATTTTGGGATGTCAAAACAAATTTTCCATAGTATGTCAACTAATTAGGTATTTCAAAATGCCCTTGGTTAGATTGGGTAACAAAGAGAGTGTAGACTACAGAGAAATATAAATAAAAAATTCTGGTAAAATCAAATCAAGTCATAATGCATAATGGGTTATTGGGTTGAGACAACATGATGCTTATATACAGGTTAAAAGAGTGATAGCAATGATACTCCCAAATTTCAATAAATGAAAAGTGATTGTAGAATCTTATATCAAGAATTCAATGATGGAGACACTTAATAATCATCTAACCATGAATTTCTTCACCTGACCTTAATCTCAGGGTCAGCAACCACATATTCCTTCAAGAGTTTGTCACCAAAAGCACGAGAAACAGCAAGAACACCTCCAACCCTCCAAGTTCCTGTTATCAAGTGTCAGCCATGAAAAAACTAACTAATTACAGATGAAACTGAGATCAAAAGGATTGGGTAACAAAATTCCCTACCAGCCCACATAACAAAACCTCCTGCATCCTCAATACGTTGTCGTTCATCACTTTGATCTGGCTTATGATCTCGGGAAACAGCAATTGCTGCAAACATATGGTACAATGATGGACCAAAATTAGATTAAAAAATCTCAAAATCACATCAAACAATGGACTATAGGAGGCTTAAGTTGCCAGTCAAACAAATTCCAATAGAGATTATTATAAATCATGGGAGGAAAAATAGATTGAAAAATTATGAGTATTCTACACTTATTTACTTATTGATTTTTAAACTCACCCAAGTAAAAAAAATGTGGAGTGAAAGACTGAAAGGGGTGAAGGGGGCGGGAAGAGTGGAGTGAGATTATATTCCATCCAAATCTTGCCAACATTAAAAGAATGTGCTTCATCGAAAGAAGGAAATTAATTCCCTCCATTCCCCTTCCCGCCAAAAAGGAAGCATTAAAAGAATTTGCTTCATCGAAAGAAGAAAATAAAATCCCCCATTTCCATCCCCTTTGCTTTCTTTTCGAAAAAAGAGTGCCTCCCCCTCACCCCCCCCCCCCCTCTCTCCCAAAACCCCAACCCAACCAAAAATCTCCCCTTCCAAAACACTTTAGCAAAGTTCTGATGGTGCTTTACAAGCTATATATATACAGTTAAATGCATCCCATAAATAGTAAATTCAGTAAAAGGTTTTTTTGGAAATCTGACTAGCACATAAGGCTGTGACAGGATGTAATTATGTAACATGTTCATAAAGCACTTGCCTTCACCACCGCGGCATATAACAGCCCTGGAATCACCAACATTGGCAACCAATAAACGATCACCAACAAGGATAGCAGTGGAAGCAGTTGATCCAGCATCTCTGTTCTGGGAGTTCTCAGATTTTAGAAATTCTGAATCTGTATGACTGTAAGTTTCAGCTGCAATAATAAATGAAATTAAAACAAACAAAACACCATGATAACCAAGTAATTCAGCTTTATTAAAGCACTGTCAAGACAAGCTACAGAGCTCTGGGAGCAAAACCTATAGCTGATTTGGTATCAGCAATGAACTTTGGGTGCTTAATCAGATTGCTAAAAAGATGGTGTTTCACATATTCAGCAGCTCGAACACCACCATGTCCTGCAAGAAAAAAGTTGTAACATAGTAGCATTAACACACATTGACGACTGAAAATACAAAATAAAATTAAGTTAGCCACAATTATATCAAATTTAGCACTGTCAATGGGCACAGAACGATCTTCCAAATCCTGGCTCATTAATATAACACGGTGAGCCATATACAATGACGAGCATAATTTCCAAACCAAAATGTACAGCTAAATTCACTCTTGTTCCCATTCATGTCTCACTTCCATTATATAAATCTGCTATGAAACTGATCTAAACTACAGATAATTTAAATATTTGTCATACACTCATAATGCATTTGCATCTTGTAACTACAGATAAGCTGAAGGCTATGTTTACAAACTTTAAAGCAGTACCCATGGGCCACAGATGTGCCAAAAGAAAGAAATACAAAGAAATAAAGCCGTGAAAGGTGATACAATTGGCCATCAAAGTGCAATCATTACGTTTGAGAAAATGATCCAAGCGAAGAACTTCTCAAGCATTAATTTATCGTTGAACATAGTAATATCACAGCAAAATCTATACTTTACAAAGACCCCGCAATATGCAATCATTGCTTGGAAAGGAAAAACGATCAAAAATACATTGTAAAAAAAAAATTTAAAAAAAAAAAAAACAGAGGTGCACAAAGCTAATTAATTCTACTAATGGTAAATACATACTTATCACTGTGCACAATTTACAAAAGCAATGTCGAGTTCAGCATATCAACAAAATTCCAGACCCACCAACATAAACAAAGTATCCATCTCTATGACAATACACAAATTTCATGATATTTTTAACAATGATTCAGAGTTAACAAAAGATGACAAAACTAGTATCACTGTCAGAAAGCAGGGAATGGAAGTCAAGAGAAGAAACATACCATCAAAAACACCAAACAAGCCAACTATCTCTCCATCATCACCATAAATTCTAGTCTCATAAAAATCTTCCATTGACGACCTTTTCCCAGCAGAGCTTGCATATCCATAGCTAAACTTGCCGTTTTGACTGTTTACATGAAGATCATTTCACAATTAGTAAATGGGAAAGTCAAACTCACCATCTAAAACTCATCAATATAATGAATTGACAACCTTGATTGATACTTGATAGTGTATTCAGGTTGCAAACACAGTGGCACACATTAGTGATTTAAAATTCTACTTAAGCTAGCACAGTAAATTTCAAGTTTCAACAATGTTTTAGGCCATCAAGGAAGACAGACATACAAAATCAAACTTCTGAACAAATCTGTTCATGGCAGTGGAGTACACCTCTGTTACTATATATACTATCTCCCATGTTCTTTTTTAGTTGACAAGTTTCATTAATCACCTTTGCAAACACGGAAGTTTAACAATTAATATTTCTAATTCTAAACAAGTAAAATTATATAACGTTGAAACAAATAATATACGTATAAAATAAGACGATTCAAACTAGAAACATGACTATGTTTTATAACAGCTATAAGGTCATTAAAGATAGTCAAAGTAAAGTTTGTGATTTGTGAATAATATCAAAAGTCAAAACATGTCAACTAAAAAAGAACAGAGGAAGTATTTACATTATTTCTAATTACCTAGAGCTATGTCATTTCTCAAAAAAAAAAAAAAAAAAAAACTAAGGTGGACCCATAGGGCCATAGGGCAAAACCAACCATCTGAAACACCCCCCCCCCCCAAATCCCCTCAAATTAAAAAAAGAATGATTTATCCACATAATCTGCCCTCCCCCAAGGTTAAATATCCAAAAGATGACATAATCTGCCCTCCCCCAAGGTTAAATATCAATAATGACCCTTTACTTGATCATGTGCAAGACTTATTTATTAAAGTGAAGGCCTTCCTCAAAATACTATTCTTCAAAGTAACTTCATCAAGGACAATAGACACAACATGCAAACATCCCCACTCACACAGTCACACTAATCTCTAATCCCTCTTTTCTTCTCCTATATCCCTGGCAAATTTGCCCATTCATGGAATCTTTAACCAACAGTAGATTGAGATGGAAAGAAGACTTATCTTTTGTACTTCAAAAGGCTACAACAAGAGGATTTGGCATCATAAAGGACTATATTAAGCTGTCAGACTATCATCTAAACAACACCAGTTGACTTGATACACAGCATACTCCCAACAGAGTCAATTTGAGACAACAAAAATGTCCAGTGAGAACTTAGCTAGGTTCTGATGTAGCTCTAAGGGGAAATTTCTCATGTTAGGGTTCTTTCTAAGGAAATCTGGTTGCATTTCAAAGTGATAATTCTCCACACCATCCAGAAAATGATAGCCAGAAAGTAAGTTTTACTATATAGAAAATAGATTTAAATTCATCCACTGTTGAGGATGACAGACTGGTAGAGATTAGAGACCTTCACCATCAACTAGAATTAAGAGGTTGTTTGGTTTGTTAAGAGTGTCATAACTAAGAAGGTATAGATTCTAAACCTCATAGGGCCCATACTAGACTAAACTTGTTTGGTTTATTTGTTGGAATGATTTTTACTTTTCATTAAAGTAATTGATTGTGAAGGCCCGCATGGGATTTTAGGGGAATGGGTATAGTTAGAACCCTCTTAGTATGAGATTTCATACCTAAAATGCCTAACCAAACAATAAAATTGATGGAATGGACTCTAAATTCATTCCAAAAGAACCAACCAAATGACCCCTAAATGTTTCCAATGGATAAGAGAGATGTCAATACACAACAGACACAGGCATGCATACAAGGAAACAACTCTCTAAGGTACACGAGGTCATGAGGATAAATAGCATTATCATGGTGGAAGTATGAAGAAATATACAAGGTGAGACATGTTGTTCAACCAAAGCAATATTTTAAGACCAGAATATCACCATGATTTGCATATCCATTAACCCATTACCACATAATTAAGGTTCAAATAAGATCAACAAATAACAAGGGTTTGACAGTAATTTTCCCTCACGTCAAAAAAGGCATCAAACTCCAAACGAAAAAGGCATCAAGCACTCCAAGCTGTCACAGCTGTGACTCTTGATTGTGAGTATCAACAAAACTACGCAAACGTCCCATAGAATTAGATATGGAATTTAGAAGCCAACTATATTAAGGGCACTCTAAGGGGAAATGATGCAATGATAACCAAAATGGAAGTTACTAGGAATAGGTTTAAATGTGTGTTGAATGTCATGTAAGAAACCAAATGCATTCTAATTCTAGATCTTCTTCCTCCTTGAATGCTTATGGAAAGTCATAATTGTCAATGTAGCATACATGATTTATTAAGCTCTAGCAGGCTGGCAGCATAGGTTTTAACTTATCTAATAAGCTTGAGGAATAAAAATGTGGACAATTGACTAATTCACAAGAGTAACAATGACGTTAAAGTAAATACATTCATCCTATCATCACACCCACAATTGCACACACAAACAAAATTCCTAATCCTCAAGCCATCAGTACCTAAAGAATTTCTTGAGATTAACAAGGGGCAAGCTAGGATAATTATAGGATATGGACAATCTCAAGACCATAAAACAATAAATCTCAGAAATGGTAAAGTGAGACACTGAAAAGGCAAAAAGAAAACCACCTGAGGCCGCCGCCTGTGACGGGTTGTTCCTCGACATGAATTTGATTGGAGGATTGCAACACTGAATCAAGGTAACCCATTTCACTGCTCAAATTTTCACAAACCCAACAACTTCTACCCTCTTTAATCTGATCTATGAAACTAACAACAATAACAATGAAAGCAGTCAATATAAACCCTAAATTCATTAACCTAATCAACCTGTAGGTGGTGGCACCCGTAGAAACATTTCCAATTACTGATAAGAACCAAATCCAACCTGAAAAATTGTCCAAAAAATGTTCCTTGTAATAATAACAATAAAACCCAATTTTTCAAAGACAAGATCAGATTAGAAGCAAATTGAAAATAACCGATTTGAACTACAATCAAATTTCAAAAAAAAACTAAAATCTGATAGAAATCAATGCAGAATGAAAATTGAAAAAGACAGCAAATGAATCCAAAATCATAAATTACAAGCAAAGATCAAGAGAGATTATGATGCATAATACAATATAAATATATGAAAATTACAAGAAAGCTCATATTAACAAGAAAGCAAGATCAATCAGCATTACCCAGAAAATAAAGGAACAAACTTTGGGAAGAGGGTACCACAGAAAATACCTGTATTGTAGAAAAACTAATCAAGCAAACCAAGAAAAAAGGTGAGAGTGTGTGAATATGAAGAAATTAAAAACAAGGTTTCAATTTGTTTATTATTTAATTTAATTATTTTTCTTTAAAGTTTTTATTTGGGATAGTTGGTTTGACAATGCAAAAGGTGATGTGGGGAAATGGGGGAAAAGAGAGAAGTTTGATTGAAATTTACACACCTTTGATTAGCAGCAATTCTATTTTTGGTTAATGAGGAAATTTTTAATTAGTAATTTTGTAATTATTGTGGGTTAAGCTTAAGAATGACTGATAGATGGAAGAGGTAAAATTTGAGGTTATTGTGGGTTATGCTTAAGAATGACTGATAGATGGAAGAAGTAAAATTTGAGGGGATGATTTTAGTTAACATTAAAAGGTTAAAAATAGAAAAAAAAAATATAAATTTAGGGAATATCATTAATTGAACTTATGGATTGGATGTCACAATTTCATAAATTTCTTTTTGACACAACATAATTTCACAAATTTCAATTCATAACAAAGGTGGAAATTATTTTGTTCATTTTTTTTTGAAATAGTAAAATCAAGGCTTTTTTTTTTTTTTTTTTTTTTTTTTTGGTCAGAAACTACCTAATAAAACCTTTTTTTTTATAAGAAACTAGATTAAGTCTCGTGCCCCGTACGGTTTTTACAAAATTTTATAATGAATTATAATGCTGATTCAAAAGCTATCTTAATTAAATCCTAATATTTTTAAATGAAATTAAAAAAGTTTGAGTCTTAATTTATACCTATAATTGAGCTCCAAATTCGAATCAACCCAAAGGCTGAGACAAGTGGAACACAAAAAAAATAAAAGATAATAGAATAAAATTTTACGCAATAAAAGATATGGAAAATATGTGAACATTTTATTTAGAAGGTGAATCACAATTATATGAGTTGGTGAATTTTTTTTTTTTTTGAAGAGTAAATCATAATTATATGAGTTGGTGAATATTTTTTTTAAGGAAGTGAATCACAAGTATATAAAGAAATAAATATTTTTGTAAGGAATGAATAAAAAAAAAGAAAAAAAAATGTTTTGGAGGGAAAAGAAAAGCACCAAAAAGTGACACATGTCAATCCCGGTGTCTGTTTTAGTATTATGTTATTGATTAACTAATAAAAAAAATGTTGTAAGATTTTTTTTTTTTTGGTCATTTCCACCGTTGACCTAATTTTTACAACGTTGACTCACCTCAAAATACCCTCGAAACTGCTGCGGGGTTGGTTTTCATCAAAGTGGTTAGGTTATTTTAGGGTGGTCGGAGGATATTCCGAGTTGGTGAGGGTAGTTTCGCGCTTCGAGATGGTGATTTTTGGGTTAGAGTAGAGGTGATCATTAGGCAGGTCGAGTCAGGCCGAGCTGATGCCAAAAAATACCCCATTTCTCGGGTTGGGCCAAGCTTTGGGCCGAAAATTAGGTGCTAAACTCGCCCAAAATGACTGGTCCATGAGATTTTTCGGGCCCAAAAATCTGCCAAAACCCCCCAAATTCGGGTTGGGACAGCGGGACCGAGTTGACTTTGATTAGCTCTTGGTTAGAGGTGGTGGTTTTGGGGTTGGAAGGTGGTTTCAGAGTGGTGGAGGCAATTTCAAGCAAGTTGTGTTGGTTTTGAAAATGAAATCGGTGGTTATAGGGGTGTTTAGAGGTGGGTCAACAATAGAAATATGATAAAGGCAGTATTTAACATTTTATCCTTTTATTAGGTATTTTCTTACAACATCTTACATTTTATTAAGTAATTTTTTATAAACATTTTTTTATTAGGTAGTTCCTCACAAAATCTGGGTTTTATTAGGTAGTTTCTGACAAAAAGTCCTAAAATCAATTAATAACTATGACACGTTTCATCTCCTGATGTTTTTTTTTTTGCTAAATAAAAGTATATTAAAGAAACAAATTTGATAGCTTGTAATTTTGTATGATTTTAGAGTGGTTTTGAGACTTAGAATTTTGAGAAATCAATGTCTTCACTAAGCTAATAACTCTATTTTATGCATTTTTTTTGTGGATATTATGCTTCACGGGGTTGCTGGTGTTTTGGTGCATATTTAGGTATAATGATCGATGACACTTTAAAGCTTTTGGATAAAGAAGAAAAAGAAGTTGGAGTCAAGAAGAGGAAATAAGGGAGCTATGGAAGAATGAAAGAAGCAAGGAAAAGAGTCCAAGAGTGAAATAAGAGCATTTGGAAGGATTTTTGCACTAAGGTTAAATGACCATAACTTTTGTTCTACTCAGTATTTTGAAATGATTCAAATTGGAGATTAAATTTCATCTCAAGATCTTTCTAACGACTGGTCACATGCCTTATTCGAATGAGTAATGAAGAAGTTATGACCTTCCAAAACGAAGTTGTTTCGCTATAAAATAGTTGCACGCCCATGCCAAAAAGTGGCACGTCTGTGCAAAGTCCCTGCACGTCCATAGAGCTGTCAAAAACTGATCCGACCCGAGAAATCGACCTGAACCGGCAATGATCTAAACCAAACCTGTACCCGGACAATGGGGTGAAACTAATGATATGTAACTCGACCTGAACCTGACCATATGTTAACTGACAACCGATTTGATCCAACATTTTTTGACCTGAACCTGCTCCTGACCTGAGAGTAACTGTCAACCGATTTAATCCGACCCAACAACAATCTGTACCCAAACTATTACCCGACCCAATTAGAACTTGTACCTGAGTCATATATGGAATGTTTAATAAAATTTATATGCCTTTTGTTCAACTTATATACTAGTACAAATCTATAAACCCACAATCCGCGCGATTCAGCTTGTATACCTTTTGTTCTCTATTACTCACATATAGGTTTAATAAAATCTTGTTAAAGCTGATCAAATTGTGGAAGGCATAATTATATAGGTTCAACTTGAGCACATCAATATATTTATTGGAATTGAACTTGAACCAAAACCCAACTCAACACTAACTCGAACCCGAATGTACCATCTATTAACCTACTCAAACCTGACTCACACACAACCCGAACCTGAAATTGAATCCGATCTGAATTTGGCTTGAATTGAACCCGGCATATATCTGAAAAGGTGAATGACCCAGAATAAACTCAACTGAAATTGAGTCGAACTTGAACCTGATACGAGGCTAGATTGACCCGACAAAACCAGATCCTAATTTAACCCGAGACATGATTTGACCCAACCCAAATCCGACTTGAATACCCGAAGCGACAACTCTACTATAATACACGAAATAGGAGCGATTTAGGAGGTGTCGGGAGCTGGCCTGGTGTTGAATTGGAATTTCACGGAACACTACGGGATGAATCCCGGGATCATATAATATTGTGTGGACATATAAATGACCATTTATCCGGTGACGTAAAGGCCCTATGAGAGCTTATAGCCAATACAAGAGGCATGTACGAAAACGGGTAAAATAACCATTTAAAGGCAAATTGGATGGTTCCACCCACCCATTTAAACTCTCGGAGGGTATTAGGGACCATGGTAAACATCTAAACAATTTGTATTTCCGGACGAAAAAAGGTAAAAAAATTACAAAATTGAAGGCTATATAATCCACAGTTTTTGAGGAATTTTTGAGGTACCGGGCCCGGTGGCAAAAAGTGTTGAGACCCTAAAACTGTCAAAAACAGACCCGACCGAGGACTCGACCTTAATCGACAATAATCTGAACTCATCTTGTACTCGAACAATAGGGTGGATTATATAGCCTTCAATTTAGCCACTTTTCGCCACCGGGCCCCTAAACTTCAAAATTTCCTAAAAAAGCGTGGATTAAGCCTTCAATTTTGTATTATTTTTTTTTACCTTTTTTCGCTCGGAACTAAAAATTGCCAAGATATTTACCATGGTCCCTAATACCCTCCGGGAGTAAAATTGGGTCGGTGGAACCATCTAATATGCCCTTAAACGATCATTTTATCGGTTCACAACTTGCAGAGATTTCGTAAACTCAAGCCTACCACGGACATTTATGACAACATATAATGATCCTATATGGTTTCAAACGTCATTATATGACCCCGAGATGTATCCCTTAAGGTTTCAAGGCTTTTCGCCACCGTGCCTCGAAAACTTCGAAACCTCAAAATTTCCTCAAAAAACGTGGATTATAGCCTACAATTTTGTAATTTTTTTGACATTTTTTTGCCCTGAAATAAAATTTTTTGAGATGTTTACCATGGTCCCTAATACCCTTCAAGAGTCCAATTGGGTCGGTGGAACCATCCAATATGCCTTTAAACGGTCATTTTACCCGTTCATAACTTGAAGTGATTTCGTAAACTCTAGCCTACCACGGACGTTTATGACAACATATAATGATCATATGTGGTTTCAAAAGGAATTATATGACCCCGAGATGTATCCCTTAGGGTCTCAAGGCTTTTCGCCACGCACCGGGCCCCGAAACCTCAAAATTTCCTCAAAAAGCATGGATTATAACCTTCAATTTTGTAATTTTTTTTACCTTTTTTCGCCCTGAAATAAACTATACCGATATGTTTACCATGGTCCCTAATATCCTCCGGGAGACAAATTGGATCGGTGGAACCATCCAATATGTCCTTAAACGGTCATTTTACCAGTTCACAACTTTAAGTGATTTCGTAAACTTAAGCCTACCACGGACGTTTATGACAACATATAATAATGATTATATGTGATTTCAAATGGAATTATATAACCCTGAGATGTATCCATTAGGGTCTCAAGGCTATTCGTAGGGGTGAAAGTTCGGTATTCGGTTTGGATTACACCCCAAACCGAATCCAAACCGAATTATTTCGGTTTCGGATTTTTGAAACCGAATCCAAACCGAATTTGGATTCAATCCAATCCAATCCAAACCGAAATAATTCGGTTTTGAGAATTAAATCCAATCCAAACCGAATTTTTATGGGCTGCTGTATTGGGCCTTAAAATCTGGGCTTTTTATTGGGCATATAATTTTGGGCCTTTTAAGGCCTAAATTTTGTACCTGTTCCTGAACAAAATTAAAGCATAAATTTTAACATACAAATTTCACAAGTCACAACCATATGCCATACTGCCATAGTAACTAAATTGTCCAGCCATACTGCCAT